CCCGCCACTCCCCCTCAGCCGCCGCACACTCACCTGGGCCGCCGGCCCGGGCTGAGCTCCGGCTCCAACTGCCCAGACTAACCGCCCCGCACTTCGGTTTGAATCCCTCCCGCCAGCCAATCCCAGCCTGCTCCCCACCCTGCCGGTCTCTCATTGGCTCTTCTCACCGGGCGTCTGAAGCCAAGCGGGCGCCATGCCTGCTGAGGGCGTGGCCTCTCTGCTCCACTCCCCAGCGCGAGGGCGGACCGGGGGCCCTAACGGGCGCGTCCTGAAGCTGGCCAGACGCCATCTTTACTGTTGGTCGCTGGCTCCAGCGCGCGTTGCTTAGCAACAGAGCAGGCCGGGGATGCCGGCAAGGCCTAGGCCCCCCGAAACCGAGGGCTCGAGCGCGGCCATTGGCACCGGGGGGTCCGTTTTGGGGAGAAAAAAGCTGTTCTCAGGCCAGGTTGCGATTTTAAGCAACACCGTTGGCACAAGGCGCGGGTGGGCCTGAGCCCGCCACGAGCTGGTTCTGCAGAGCCCCGCAAGGCCTGCGCAAGCTGCTGGGTGCAACCGGTAGCTGGTTCGGAGCATTAATGCTTCACGGGGAGGTCGTTTTTTAAGCGCCTTCGCTCGAGAAGTGCGATGCCACGGCGGAGTTTCGTCTTCGAAACATCGCTCTGAGTAGCAGCCGGCGACCCGGCCTGCCTGCCAAAGGCGAAGCCCCCTTTCAAGCCGCATACGAGCCTTCCATTCGCAGGCGCTTCACATGCAGACCGATCAAACGCAAACCAAAACCCAACAGTTACAAGAAGGGAAATCACGTAATCATAAAATAACAACGCGTTTTCATGTTTTAAATCTGAAGCACAACAGCGGGTAATTGGAGAATGGATATTAGCAATTAGAAAGCGGAACTAAACGCTTAAAATTGCCAAATGGAAAAGGGAGTTCGTAAAGCAGATTGCTCTCTAACATCCAGCTGCTTTGTCAGAACGGCTTTATTTAGGTTATATAGTCTGCTTTAACTTAATTAATAATAATTAATTCATAATAGATAGTGAAAAGTCTCAAGGTCCTCTGAAAAGTAAACATTAATGAGGCTTCCTTGAGGATGATAGTCAAAATTATCGAAGTTTTACAGGAGAGCTGATGTCCAGAAGAGACACGACTCCTCCTCCGAGCGAATGGTGAAGCAAAAGAAAGGCGCTGACCTTGACATTTGACCTTGTAGCATGGAAAAAGCATCCAAAAGCCCACTTTGCCCCCATCTGGAAAGCAAGTGGAAGGCCGAGAGCTACACCTGGCTTTGCTGCAAGGCTCTCGTGCACGCACAGCCCATCACGGCACCCCTCGCACACCCACTTCTGCGGAGGTTCAGCTGTTTCAGTGTCAGCCCCAGGGCCTCCTGCAGCTCCTGCCTGTAATTAAATTTTCACAGCTAAGATGTCTCTATTGGCAGATCATATTTATAGGCAGGCGAGTTGTTTTAGTGCCATTCTGAAGAATTAAGGGCGCTTTTGCTCATAAGCAAATTCTCTTCTCTTTTAAACTGTCATCCGCAATCTCGTGCCAATAAAAAGGCACATTATTTTAGATTATTGCCCCCGTGGTGCTTGTAGTGAGTTACTGCGTTAGGTACCGGGTTTCAGCGTTACGCAAATTAGATTCCTTCCATATGTGTTCAGACATCACACTTCCAAACCCTCCTCTGAAACGTGACGGGTGGGAGCTCAAAGGGCGTCAGGAACCGAGCGCCTCAAAAAAGCTTCTCAGAAACCCCCTCACCTGCCAATGTGACGTGGACATGGCAAATGGGCCGTGTCCTACAGCACACGCCGCGTGCTCGCTCCCAGCCCCGGCCCCTGAAAGCTTTGTAGAGTTTTTCTTTCCTCCTTCCTGACTGATGCATGATGAGAGCAGAAGGGTCAGGAGCACCTTTCATATATAGCTTTATTTCAAGGGAGAAGAAAAGACATAAAGATTGAGGGCCTTTTCAGGAGCTGCTTTATTGCGAAGTAATTATATTCCCTTTTGTTTGTGTCGGGGAGGGGAGGGAGAAGCCTTGAAATGTCTCATCTGGGAAACCGTTAATAGAATTTATGCTAATTTGATGATTCCGGCGATTACTGGCGGAAACACTTCACATTTTCAGGCAGCAGAAATTCTCCTCCAGTTCCTCCTGCAGTCTCGCTCCCTTTGGTCTTTAGCCCGTTCACCTCTCCAGGCACCGGAGACTGCTTTGCTGGGCAGCGCTTGCGGACCCCACGATGCGACCAGGACTTTTGCTTATGGCGACGACGATGCGCTTCACTGGCGACCTCGTGCCTCAGTCTTCTGGGGCAAGATACAAAGAAATCTGCCCTGGTACCTCGCTGTGCTAGCAAGCGGCCCTGCAATAACCAACCCTTCCCTCCCAGCCTCATCCGCTGGTGGAGCTTCGCAAACACAATTCTCTGTGCCCAGCTCCCGCCTAATTAACTTCAGAATTGCAAACCCATTTGTGCAGCTTTGTGCTCAGGGGAAACCTTTATTAAGTTCCTTTTAATCCAAAACCAGTTTGAGCGTGATGGTCTTCGTGAGCAGTCATTCAAAAAGAAAAAAGAGGGGGGGAGAAAGTGGAACTAGGAACATTAAGACGACAACCTTTCTCCAGGGGGGGGGGAAAGAAAAAGGCAGAAAAAATTATCTTAGGTGCATTTCTCTTGATGCGTTAATAAAGCACAGGTTTCGAAAAGGAATGGTTCAGAAGTGTGAGGGAAATACCCAGCAGGCTGAGCAGGGAGAGCAGCCTGGGTTTAGCCGGAGGAAGCTGGACATTTTGGGGAATTAATTTCCAATTTCTCACGCCTGGCCCGAGCCACAAGCCGGCAGATGGCATCACGCTCATGCCGTTGGGTGGGAGTGGGAGCTGCGGGGCCTCAGCCAACGCTCGGCTGTGCAAATATTGCTCGGCGCATCGCCCGTGCGGTCTGCAAGGAGAGGGCCAAAGGAGCCGGGTTTGTGCCGCTGGCCCGAACGACAGCCCGGGTTTATCGGTGGTCTGCTGCCTGCGTGAAGCCGGGATAATTCCTCCAGCGATGACTGGCGTTGGGGTAAAGAGCACTTGGATGGGATCAGCCAAACCCGTCTGCAGCGACACGCGGTCCATCCTCTCTGCTCCTCGTAGCGAAACGGTGCGTTAGTGTCAGCAGAGAAGCCACGGCCTTATCCTGAACTCGTTAAAAAACAATGGGAGTCTCTATTGCCTTCATCTGGCTTTTAATGAATGACCTCTTGTCGCCGGGAGCTGCGTGCGGTGACAAAGGACCTCTGTGGGCTGATATTTATGATTTCATTTAAGTCAGGGAGTAAGCTAAGGGAGAAGGCTGGAAAATAAAAGCTGAGCTGATGTTTCCTGCTTTAAACTCAAGGGATCTTTATCTAGTTTTTGTATCAATACAGTTGTCATCTCTTAAATATTTGAGCAACTCGTAGCCGTGAACACTCCCATGCTGGAAGGACACGCAGGTCACGCTCGGTGGGAGGGCAGGGAGCGACTCCGGCTCTCCCGAGCCCCACACATTCCTTCAGGCCCTAACACTGGGTCGGGGGGAAGGTTTTGCATTCTCCTAGTGCCCCCCCAAAAACTGCACGCTCACAAGCACGCAGAGCTCTGCTGCGAGAGCCCGCGACCTGCTCGCGAGGGGCCGGCGGGCAGCCCCGGGCTGAGCGCAGCCACCAGGGCCGAACACCCCTCCGCACGCCAGCAACTTGCCAACGCTGATAAATTTTTGCCTTTTCCTTCCGCAGGCCTTGGCGGCGGATTAAGCAGCTGGGAGTCTGGAGTGAGAGCGCGTCCCCTCTCCTTTGCCATGCAAACAGAGAAAATTAATCTTCCAGCTTTCTCTGATATTTGGGTTGAATTACAAGCTGGGAGCGGAGATAAAGCGGGGGCAAAAGCATGGTACAGGTACAGCCGAGAGCTGGGCTGCCTGGCGCGGGCCCTTGTCCGTGCAGATAACGGCTCTCCTCCCTGTGTCATGCATAATTCACCAGCACTGCTTCCCTCCGTCCCGGTCATCCCTCTCCCCGCTTTCGCTGCTGCTCGTGTGCAGGAACTGGGAGCCTTGCTGTCCAAGCAAGCCCACGCGTGTTGGCTGCGTGCGTGGGGAGCAAGCACACGTGTGTGTCCGGACACACAGCAGCAACGTGCAAATCTCAGCTGCGGTGCAGCTCTCTCCGCAGGTTTGCCCTGGGACAAGGTAAGGGGAAGCCGGAGGCTGACGGAGCAGGGGTACAACGCTGTCACGGGCTGTGCTGGGACAGGCCACCCATGTCCTGCACACCCTGGGCAATACCCGACACCGATTCAACTAAACCAAACCAGCGCATCAACTCCTGCAAGGGCCTAGGGTGTGATTTCACATGCCCATCACATTCCAGCTCCGCTAACCATGCTGTCTCCCTAAATCCCTCTGATGTTATAGTTGGATAGAGGTTACATCCTCTGGGATACCAACCCCAGCATTAACAGACACCAACTGCATTTTATTTGGTCGATCATCCGGCGGCTCCTCTGTACTCTTCTTGACAGAACTGTGCCACACAGAGAGGAAAAGCCATGGAGGTTTTGCATAGCCGCCCAGAACAAAGCAGAAAGAACCCCGGTCCCCCCCAGCCACACGGTGAACATAGACACCTGCTTAATTATTTTTGCTTTGTAAATGAAAGCAGTGCCATGAGTTTAATAACCACTACTTGGGAGTAATTGGGGCGATTATTGTATAGCCCAGGGGGAAAATTGCAGCTTGTTATCTCCAGGGAGTAGCATTAGGATCCAGCAGATAATCAGAACGTTATTTGTTGCACTTTAGATGACATTTCTTATGGATTTAGAAGTGATAGTGATCAAACGGTGTTGTCAGAGCCACCCCCAAACTGGGGAATCCAGAGACCTGTGAGCTAAATAGCATCTGAAGCTGCCCAGGACAGCTGCTCTTCCAGCAGGACAGCACGAATAACAGGCACACATGCCATATTTGAGCTCAAACACTTCCAGATCTGAGCATCACTCATCTCTTTTTAAATTTGATCTCATAAGAGAGGTGACACTCAGGATGCTGCATGAGAGGATGCAAAGTTGGGATATCAGCTCTAACAGATGCCACCAACCAGATCTATACACAGCAATAAGGTTGCTTTGAGACCTTCCCTCCTCTCTTTCTTCCTCCCCACCCCAATGGATAGGCTCTGCCTGACCTCTCACCTCCAGCAGCCCTGAAATTTGAGTCTTGGTGAGGAGCAACGCCCACACACTGCTCCAGCATTGGGACTTCTGTCTGCATGGTCTCACGGACACCATCAGTGCTGGGCATCCTCCCTGTGCACATCACGCTTGCTCCCCATCACACAGCTGAGCAGCTCCCATCGCTGTTGCGCTCTCCCTAAGACATTTGTGCATTGTCAGGTAGCAGCTTTCAGCTCCTGGAGGATTTCGGAGCTGGGAGAGCCAGTTCCAGCAAACCCAGACATGGTGAGTGTGCAAGATGCAGCACAGCTCCCGGCGATGCCTCCCAAACACTGGCCCTTCTCTTGGCACCCCAAACTGTGCTCATCCAGCCTGGCCGCAGGGGTGGAAAGAGGATTTTTAGCAAGGCTAAACCCAACCAGAGCCTTTGGTGCTCTCTCGTTTGTAGGTTTACTGCACAGGAGTGTCCACAAACACTGGTTTGGGCTCTGCTCCTGGGGACGGGCTCGTGGAGGACACGGCAGCACCTCGGCACCCACACTACGCCAACGACGAGGATGCTGCCAGGCCCTGGAGAGCGCTGAGCCAAGGCAAGCTCTGCTATCGATCCCTCAATCAATGGCAATTCGAGGCCTGGAAATGACAGCGTCTTTTTTTAGTCCTCAGTTCCCACCCAGAGCTGGGTGCGGGGAGGAGGGAGCTCACTCAGGTTTAGCAATAATCCAAAGCAGAGACGGGAAGAGCCTTTCTTGCGGCAGGTGGGTTGTTTAACAAATTGAACACAGAACGAGACAAAAGGCACCGAGGAAGGAGATCTGGCGGGACTGGACCTTTATCTCCAGCACGTTGGCAGCCAAAGCTTTGTGCAATATTTATCAAGGGTGAGCGAGCAGGAGAATCGGCAGCCGATGCAAAAGTGAGGAATTAAAGCCACTGCCATCCTTATCTCCCCGGCAGATACGCAAGGGGAGGGGTGGACAGGAGCTTCGAGCCAGCCCAGGGCAATCGAGTTTGAAACCATCTGTGGATTTAACGAGTCCAAACTTTATTAGCTCAGCTGATGGGAAGCAGAGCAGAAGCACCAAGGAAGGCAAACCAGCACATTCACATCCTCCGGCTGCCAGAGCTGAGCACGCTGCCTCCAGGCAGGCATTTCCACTGGGAAGTCCTTCGTGTCGCTGGTCAGGCATTGCATGGCTGGAGGGACACGGCAAAGCTGGCCCAAAGGCACCAGAGGTCTTTGAAGCCCAGTTAAAATTCACTTTTAAACCAGGGAGTAGAGGAGCTGCTACTCTTTCTCTCCCAATTTTGCTCAGCAGTGAGACAAAGGCAAACGATGCTCTGCCCTCGGGTTTCAGAGTCATTCGTATTTTCAGAGTCAGGGATGCAACTGTCTTGCAGAGAGCAGATACTGCTTGGCACTTCGCAGCCGCCCCATGAATACGCCTCAAGAGACACAGCCAGGAAAACCACAGGGAAAGGACGGATACGACCTCAATAATATCTGCAGAGCTCCGGGTTGGTCCACCGAGGGTTTTTGCAGGCAAGCCATCCCCAGGGAGGGCAGCTCAGCTCCCGCAGCGACCAGCCGGGTCCCCTGGCCCCTCCGGCACGTGCGGCTCCTGCAGCTGCGGGTGGCGAGCAAAGGACTGCTTCATCTCCACCGTCCCCTGGGAATCCCCAGCTCTCACATAACGTGCTGGTAATTAACTCACTTATTGGCTTCGCTTTTGCTGAGATTGCACGTTCAAGATGGGCTCCATCTGCTCCTTGCACGGGCTTGGCTGCCAAGGGAGGGTAGCAAACCCCCCTGTTTATCGTGAGGGAAACATGTCATTTCTGTAAACGAGGGACAACGCTAAGGCCGCGCCGGGCACCAGCAGCAGCCCTCTGCCAGCGGCTGGGGGGCCAGGCAGCACAGCCCCACC